TGCAGTGCAAGGTAAGGCGTTCAAGGGGAAGTGCAGGTACATGGGAGAGGGTCAGCCATTTCCAGAATGAGGTTGTCTTCAGGGATTGAGCCATGTCATTGATGAGGATGGGCTTCTCAGAGTGGGAGGATGCTTGGCACCTGCTGGCCTAGCAGGGTCCTGGGCATTCATCATGTGGTTGTCTTTCTTATTGGATGTCATTGTGGGAGAGTGACACATTGGGGGCATCATGTAGTGAAGGGAGTGCTCGGGGAGCTAGATTTTGGATTGTCAGCAGTGGGCAGCTCGTCTCTTCTGTCAGTCACAGGTGTGTTCTCTGTCAACGGCTTGGAGGACTATTGCAGAATTGGGGGATGGCAGGTTTGTCCATTGACAGGCTGTTGCCCATGTCACTGTTCGCTGGTGTGGGGCTGGACATCTTTGACTCCTGGATGGTCGCAGTGCATCGCAACAGAGGAGGGGATGCAGACAGTGGACACTGGACTGTGCTTTTCACCTGCATGTCCACAGGAGCTGTTAACGTTGGGCACATTGGATCAATTTCTACGTCCAGCTTTATCGATACGCTAGGGGAATTTTTCTGTGTCCGTGGACCTGCTCGGGCGCTCTGCTCTAACAGAGGAATTAATTTTGCTGGAGCATGCAGTGAGCTATGGGTTGATCATGGGGATGCAGAGCTAAACTCTTGCCTGCGGGAGGGGGGTTTGCATGTGACTGTTCGGCTTCCCACACTCCTCGCACATGGGTGGATCATGGGAGAGAATTGATGGAGTTGTGAGGCACATCCTGGACAGTGTTCTTTTGGGGGCTGTGCAAATTCAGCTCGCACATGGAGTTTTGAGTGCATTCCTGGCAGGAGTGGTGGCAGTGGTGAATGCGGGACCACTTGTATCATTCTTGGCGGATTCAGACGTGCCAGGCCTCCTCACTCCAGAGGTGCTCCTCACTCAGACGACCAGCTTGTTGTCCACATGGGGGGCTTTGCACCTCCAGACCTCTGCTTGGGGCAATAGAGGCAAGTGCAGTGTCTGGCAGACTCTTTCTGGAAACAGTGGAAAGGCAGGTGCCTTTCAATTCTACAGCAGGGAAAAAGATGGACTGATGATGAGTCGAACGTGGAAGTTGGTGACGTTGTGTTGTTGGGAGATGCTCTCACACACTGAGGTGACTGGTCCATGGGAAAAGCTGTAAGAATATTTGACATTGATGACAATAAGTTTCTAAAAGCAGATGTGACAACTGTAAATGATGGAAATGAGAAAGTGTTTTTGAGACCCATATATGATATGGTTTTGCTTTTATCAGATGATAAATAAGAGTAGTATAGCTGTAAACTGTTCAAAATGTTTAATAGGAATCTAATTTGTAGTGACACTGTTGTATCGTGCCAGGCGGGGAGTATTCTGACTTTTGTGAGCTACACTAGATTAAGAGTTTTATAAGCTGCCTTAGAATTCCCTCTGGTGGTTGCATTGTAATATTGTTTTGGTTACTCAGATAAAAAAAATTAGATTAAGCAGAAAATCCAAAATGACCAAACGTAATGCTGAATTGTTCATGTGTTAAGATGATATTACCCTTAAAACGCTGTTGCCTTGGACGAGATTGTCCATATGTGTTATGACAAAAATAATTATTTCTTATTGTACATTAAAATGATATGATAATTTGTACATTTAAATGAGTTATGAACATGTGATATTGTTAGCCTGTAGTAAGCATGAAACAAGCTAGTTTTTAGATGTTAGTTAGTTAATACCATGCTTTGTATGTTTCAGTTTTACGATGGTCAAAAGAGAACAATGGTCAGAGGTCATTCTTCAATAAATCAACACAAAAGAAAGAGAAATAAGTCTGTTTATTGGAGCATCCTTATCTCAGTGTCTACCTGGTGAAAACTAGAAAAATCAGGGTGAGGATAGCATACACTACAGTTATGTGAAAATGTGTTGTTAATTGTTGTTCAAACTGTTCAATACAATTCAATGAAAAGGTGACCCATGGCCCCACTCATTCTTTTCATGTTGCCCCTTGCCTTTAACTCTCCTATACAAACCTAGTCCTGAGCCCAAAAATCTCTAAAACCTCCAGTTAGCCCCACCCCTTCCTATGCAGGACACAAATGTTAGGTGTTAATTTTGTTCCACCACAAATCTGATAGTTACTCATGTTTTCTCTTGTTTTGTATCAAGTCACTGTATGCCATTGTTTGGTTTTTAACCATTTTTTTGGATGTATACCATGATGAAAATGTAGTGTAAAAAAATAAATATGACTATGAAATGTGCAAGCCACTGGAACTTTGCCACCATGCACATGACTGGTATTCAAATTATTTTCTGTGCCACAGGATTTGACTCTGTGGTCTCACTCATAGTCTTATTCTCCAGCCCAACAGAGAGCAACAATTCACTGGTCTGTCAATGTTCTTTTCAGAAGAAAGGAAGATGAAAAAATATACAAACTTCAAGTAGTTTCTTGCCAATAATTCAATATAATGTTTATGTCTTTGTGGTCCCTGAGTTGTAAATTATCTAGTTATGAATAAGACCACATGTCCTCATGCAGCATTTCTTCAAAGCAAGTTTGTGTTGTTTTTCTTCCTCTGCTTGTTGTTGGACTGGCAACCATGCTCATGTGTTTGGTGTCACATAACAAAATAATTTAACTGACGTACATGATGCTGTCATAATGCAGAGTTTGCACAAGCATGAAAAAACACACAGTGGGCTGGCTACACATAAGTATCTGCTGATGGATCTGGCATTCCATCATGGGCAAGTGACAATATTTAATTTTAAGTGCATACTATTATAAACATGCACAATAAATGCTCCTGCACATGCAATATCACATGCTGGAGCATGTGATGAATTATTCAGTTTCAATTCAGTTCAATTCAGTTTATTTATATAGTGCCAATTCACAACAAAAGGCAGCACGGTGGCGCAACTGACAGAGCTGCCATCTCTCAGTGAGCAGGTCGCTCTGGTTCAAATCCTGGCCGGGGGCCTTTCTGAGTGGAGTTTGCACGTTCTCTCCGTGCATGCGTTGGTTTTCTCCAGGTACTCCGGTTTCCTCCCAGAGACCAAAAACATGCATGTTAGGCTGATTAGTAACTAAATTGCCTCTAGGTGTGAGTGATAGAGTGAATGGTTGTTTGTCTCGTTTGTCTCTGTGTCCCTGTGATGGACTGGAGACCTGTCCAGGGTGTCCCCTGCCTCTTGCACAGTGATAGCTGGACATGGGCACCAGTGACCCCCGTGACCCGAAAAGGAAGAAGCAGGTAAAGATAATGGCTGGATGGATGTTGTTTATTTGTCATATGCAGATTAACACAAGGTTAACAGTACAATGAATTAGTTACTGTAAAACAATGAAACTTTGATTGTAATATGAGGGAAATTATAAACTTGGGTGACATATTCTACCAATAAATTAATTTACACAGTCTGCTGATGGATCTGGCATCTGGCAGATGGGAATAAAGCAGTGAACATATACATACCAGTCATCCTTGACACAAGGAGAGCCTCTGCTGGTTGGCTGTTCTTATTACAGGCACATAATGGCAATGTGGTGAGTTAAAGCCCAGAGATACAATATGAAACTTTCATTATAAATAAACCACTCTGTCAATATAAAGCAAGTACATCTGCTTTTGTAAAGTCATAATCACAGATTAGGCTGATTTATTTAAAATTAAACCAGCAAAAACTAAGAGTGAGAAAATCAGAAATCTTTCTTCACAGGTCTGATATTGCATTGATAAACCTTAACTACGTAAAGTGAAATTACAACCAAATTATTCAATTTGTTGTACATTCTTAGGCATTAATTAATTTATAAGGAATGCTTTGATAGTGTTGCTACTTTACTATAGAAACAATGGATTCAGACTGACCCCCCCACACACACACACACACACACACCCACACACACTTTACTCTAGCCCTCCAGCATAATACAGATCCTGTTTCCATAAACCCTGTTTTCCTTTGTCAAAGTTTGTTTTTATTTAAGTAAATAACTTAATCCACAGCTTGCAAAAGTTTAGTTCTGATTGGTAATTGCAAGCAATATAAAACAATGCTCTTTGTATTAGTAACAGGTTTAGCTTCAGCCTGCATAAAATGTAAACAAACAAAAAATAAAAGCCATAAATTCAAATATGAACTAGACTTTAAAAGTAAGATTTTATTACTTTATTGATCAACAATAAAATGTTTGCATCCTTGTCTTCCTAAATGTAATAAACCAAGCACTGAAGAGGAACTGGTAATCAAATGAGCAAATATTTAAAAATGTATATTATAAAAATAGTTTCTGAACATTTTAAGCTTTCATCCAGCAGGTTGTTTCAAAGTCAGTGCATAGCTCACAACTTTCACTTGATAATGGGTGATCCTCCAAAAAACAAATGTTTGGAAACTACACATTTATTATTAGATCTACAAATAAAAGTAGCTTAAAACTGCAGCGTTCATGGTCATCTCAGAATGAATACAAATCCTCTCAGCAATCACGATCACTTGTCCTTCATTTTCTCGGCTTTTTGGTGCACTTTAATATCTGCGTACATCTTTTTTAATCATTTTTACTAGATAGTTATTTGTTGAGTCATAACTTTAATAAGAAACGTTGATGTAACAAATAACATTTTTTTTTTGTAAATCCTAAACAAAATCAAAGAAACATACATTTTTCATAGCATAACATATACAAATACATTTAATAGGTTTTATATTAGTCATTTTGATTAGTACCTTAAATAAAACAAATGAAGAAAATACTGTATAACTGTCTCATTCTTTGACACACAGGACACGTCTTTTTACCACATGACAGCATGGCAAATTTCATAATGCACAATTGGTATGTCAATTTTGTTTGTCGGCCCACTCAAACAAAAGACACTGTATTTGTCCTGAGTACTATGAGCTGATCAGCCTATGTACCACAGCCACCATAGTTAGTGAGAAGACTATCAATGTGCCCATTCTGGGTAGAGGAAGACCACTTGCTGATGACTCTGAAATGGTAGAAAATGCAAACATATTATTTGAGTTCCTTTCATTTATTTTATGACTAATTCAACAACAACTTGTCTTCAAAAAGTACCAGATTGCCCTTTCAGTTAGCTTTTAATTTAATCAGTAATCACAGACAAGCATATAAATATGCTATTGAGTTTGTCCATTTAGTTATAATCAAAATATACTGAATAAATTAACAAAGTTTTTCTTTTAAGTCAGTTGTAAGTTACCTGCAACAACGCTGCCTGGTATAACATTCAAGCTTGTGCCGTTAAGTGCTTTGGCTAACTGTTCAGTGGCAAAAGCTGACAGAGGCACTGAGGATGCGTTTTGGAATACGAGAGTCATATTAACAGCCACAGATCCACTCCTGCAATGACAAAACACAAAAAGTTACACTTGGGAAAGCAAAGTCATTACCAAAAGTTAGAAAACAAAATCGGTTAAAGGCAGAAATCTGGTCTTACGAGAATTGATTGACTCTGGAGCGCTTGAAGAATGGTGTGTAAAGGTTGTTGCACACCTTGTTAACCTGAAAGAAAGTGAAAATGGTAAATGTGTGCCATATAAAAGCCAAAAAAGGTAATTCTCAATAAGGATATGTTTTCCATTATTTGTTAGCAATCAGAGATCTCCGTTTATCCAAAAGACCTTGGAATGCCTTTAGGTGTATTTACAGTTGACAGTTCTATTGCTAGTAAAGATTATAGTGCAGTATGAATATTACCTCTCCAACCACTTCTGTAGCTAGCGTGTTGAAAGATACTGATCCAGTGGAGTTTAAATCTGATGTAAATGTTCTTTCCATGCGGAATCGTAGACCAAGGCGTCCCTCGTCCGCTGAAGGAGGATTTGTCCCTGAAGCTGAAGCAGCTGTTGTAGCAGTTGTAGCTGTTGTTGCAGTTGTGGCTGTTGTTGCAGTTGTAGCTGTTGTAGCTGTTGTTGCATTTGTAGCTGTTGTTGCATTTGTAGCTGTTGTTGCATTTGTAGCTGTTGTTGCATTTGTAGCTGTTGTAGCTGTTGTAGCTGTTGTAGCTGTTGTTCCATTGGTAGCTGCAGACGATGCTGTAGCAGGAGCAACAGTCGTGGTAGTAGTAGTAGTAGTAGTGGTGGCTGTAAAAAAACAATAGTTTGTTCATAAATATATTACAGTATTAGCTACAAAACTGACAGACATTATTACACATATGTTTATTTTTATACTTACATGCATTGACGCTGCCTGGTATAACAGCCAGGACTGTACTGTTGGCAAGTTCAGTACTAAGTTCTGTAGTTGCGTTGACCACTGAGGGAACGGAGGCGTTATCTTGGAACACAAGAGTCATGTCGGGGATGACAGATCCACTCCTGTCATTTAAAAAAAAGAAACATATTTCAAAGGTAAGAACCAAAGCATTGTTTTCAAATTACAGATGATTTAAATGTATTCTGACCTGAATTTATTGACACGAGAGCGAAGGAAGCGTATTCCATAGAGCTGTTTACACACTCTGTTTACCTGAAAGACATAATTACACAACCTTTAAATATAACTGGGCTCCTCTAATGTATCTGTGTGGTTCTGTTGAGTTTGAAAGCTTCTATAATAATCCTCTGTGTATAAGATGACAACAAAACTGAATAAAAAACAGCAAGTCTTAACTAGAGATGTTTGTACATTGTTTAAACAGATGCATACTATAATATACACAAAAAAAAACCTTACCTCATTGACCACTCTTGTGGCCAAACTCTGGAATGCAGCTGTGCTTTTATCAGCAAGATCAGGTGTAAAAGTTTGGTTCAGACTAAATGTAAGATCCAGGGTTCCCTCATTGGCTGTAGGAAGATCTGTGGCTGCTGTGGTGGCAGTGGTTATTGTAGTAGCAGTTGATCCGTTGGTTGCAGATGTTGCAGATGTAGCAGTTGCAGTTCCATTGGTAATTGTTGTTGCATTTATAGGTGTTGCAGTTGTAGCTGTTGTTCCATTGGTAACTGTTGTTGC